GAAGATTCCCTTCTGAGATGGTTCGTTGAGTTAGACGACTCCATTAAGGCCCGTCGCATTGAGGGTGACGAGATGCAAGTCACCTTCCCCCTGTCAAATTTGACGGGGCGAGCAAAGACTAGGGCCTTAGGGCTCAAGCTTCACGAGCCAGGCGTGTTTGAGTCGTTGGAGATCTTGAAGTCTCGGCTAAAAGAGACGTTTGAGCCGCCGAGAGCCGAGTCCAGAGCACGCTCTGCACTCTCGAGGCTAAAGCAAGTAAGCGCGATTTGCCAGCTTACGCACAACACCTACGCTACCTTGCGAGTAGCGTCACAGAAAACCCTGTTGATGAGCACACGCTCATCAACGTGTTCATCTACGGTCTTGTGGATGGGCCGGTGAAGATCTACACGTTCCGAGAGGAATTCCATACGCTGAAAAAGACGATAGCGTGTGCAGAACAAGAAGACTTCAGCCTGATACAGTCTCAGGATAACTCGTCAAACTATCGTCCGACGAGACGACAGCAAACAGGAGGTACCGAACCAATAGACCTCTGTTACACCGAGAGCGAGAACTCTCGCTCTCTGAGTCACAATTGAACGGCAAGATGCCATCGCTGTCAGAAGGTTGGACACTACGCTCATGAGTGTAGTGTTTCGAGCACCGCATCACGTCCAAAGACAAGACGTGATGACCGCCGTTGGACAAGGAAAGGTCCAAGGCGTGGGTTCGGCCGTGTCGCTAAGCCGCGACAGCAAGTCGGACTGTCAAAAAACGGTCAGGGTCAGTAGGGGCGGAGCACCCTGCTGATCCAGCAACGTCAAGAAAATTTGCAGGACTATTGACGAAGGTTTCTCCCAACACACAGTCGCTGTGTGGCACTGCCCCTAGTGATGAGGCGTCCCTCATCACTTTGAAAATCGAAGCAACAAGTGGAATGTCACTTCGAGCCCTAGTTGACTGTGGATCGTCGAACAGTTATTTTCGACGCCAGTCGCTAGAGGATACTAGACTCAACTATGTTGAGCGAGAGATCCCTCCAACGAGGATGACGATGTGCCTTGCTACAGGCGCATCCGTAACAGTTAACAAACGTGTAGTGGGAATCTACTACACGCTAGAAGGAAAGCAGTACGATGATACCTTCATCGTACTTAATTTGGATGACAAATTCGATGTCATCCTCGGTCTGCCATGGCTTAAAAAGTACCAGCCATGGATTAGCTGACAGCATCGATCCTTGAAGATGCATGCCGTTTGTTCATCAGATGGCCATCTGAAGAACGTCTTGGAGCGTCCACAAGCGTGTGGATGTACTACGAGTGAGTGAGATGGCCTCACTTGTGGTACGGTCGTTAGTACGATTGCACAAGATCACAGTATAGAAGGCCACTACAATATGAAACCAGCTTCCGGCACCTGTGTAGAGACACAGGCTGCGCCGAAGGCTCACCACTCGAAAAGATCTAGTGTACTGGAACACGGATGCACACCAAGAAGGGTGCATCCAAGAAGAGAGATTAGTGTTGTTCAGGATGAACAACACGTTGAAGCGAGATAGACTATCAGAAAGTCGATCGTAGAGCAAGCCCGATTGACTGAAAGAGAGTCTATCGAAAAGGATGTGACTGTGGTAGTACACCCACAGTCACAACATGTATTGGAAGAAAGTTCCAGCGCTCCTGAGAGTGATAACTCCCGAGAGAGTTATGTTGAGGGTGTGGATCCCCGACCACCTACGGATGTGTTTTCCAGGAAATCACCGAGACAGTGAATGTCTTGGTGATTGACGGATCAAGTGTAGGTATTTACACGCTTTATATGGTTACGCCTCCGAAGTCAGCTTAGGAGGTATTCAAGTTGCCAACGCTAGAATCTAAAAGATTCTTGCGAGATCTGCGTAGTGACAAGATCAAGCAGATCTGCGTACCCGTCACAGAGAACGAGTACGTCGCCGATATTCGGTCGGAACAAGTGTTTACTGAGAACGAACGAGTTCTCAGTAGCTCATCGACGGACGAGAGTGTCCTCGATGAGAAGACTTGGATTGAGCGATGCACGTCTCAATCTTGGGAGTCTTTAAAGGCAAATTCTTTGTATAATGATTTGGTTGAATTAAGGATTGTTTCCCCTGAATCCGTGCCATGCGAGCTGCCCAAGGACAAAGGCACTCGGCATGAGATTGAACTGAAACCTGGTTCTTAGTACTGTGTCATGAAGCAGTGGACACTGCCTCGTAAACAGGTCACAATGATCGACAAATTCTTTGCCGATCGTTTAGCCGCTGATCATGTGAGGGAATCAACATCCCCACACAGCTCTCCGACCTTTTGTGTTCGAAAGGCCACAGGAGGGTGGCGGATAGTGCACGCGTTCAACAAACTGAACTCTGCAACGGCACCGGCTCAAACGCCGATACCAAGGAAGGACGTCATCATAGATGGTATAGAAAAAGTACCATCTTTTCGTCCGTGGATCTGATGGATGGATTCTATCAGATCCTCATGCGTGAGCGGGATATCCCTTACACAGCAGTGAGCACTACGAGTGGTATGCTCTGGGAGTGGCTAGTGATGCCACAGGGGCCAAGTAACGCCCCTGCAACGTTTAACAGATGTATTACAAATCTGTTGCGATCAGTGCTCGATTTCGCACCGAGTTACTTCGACGATGGCTTTGTCCATAGCCGGGTTATAGATGGAAAGACGGACGTGGAGGTTCATAAAATACACGTCCGGAAAGTTCTTACTCTAATGCGAGAGCATAAGTTGTTCGCGAACCTCAAGAAGTGTATATTCGCAGCGAACGAAATTCCACTTCTTGGCTGCATCGTGGGTAAAACACGGCGTACGCCCTGATCCGGAAAAGATCAAGGCGATTAGCGACTGGCCTGTGCCAGTCTACGTCAAGGGACTTTGAAAGCTCCTTGGCTTGGCGGCGTACTTGCACAAGTACTCGCGCACTACACCGAGATGACCGTACATCTATCTCGTCCGTTAATGAAGAACGAGAGGTGGTCATGGAGTGCTGAGTGTCAGCACTCCTTTAAAGTTATCAAGAAAAGATTGATATAATCGCCTGTGTTGACGATTGCAGACCAGGATAGACCATTTCATGCGGTCTGTGACGCCAGCGATGCTGCAATCGGCTGCGCGCTAATGCAGTACGACTCAGACGGCGTTGAGCGCATCGTCTGTTATCAATCGCGTCAGCTGCAAGCAGCTGAGCGAAATTATTCGGTTCATGACAAGGAACTCCTTACCATGAAATAGGCAATCTCGAAGTATAGAGTCTATCTATTAGGAAATAGACCCTTCATTGTTTACCCAGACCATGCGTCGTTACGCACGGCCGTTAACAGTCTATACCTCTCGCAACGAATGACGAGGTGGCTGTCTTTCTTCGCGGATGACAACTTCTCCGTCGAATATGAATCAGGACGACTTAATGTCGTCGCTGACGCTCTTTTGAGTCGGCCCGATTTTGAGCCTACTGCTCAACCCAACAGTAGGGGTGATCACACTGTCGCGACACTAACAGTGAGTGTTCCGTCGTCGAATCTGCTCGATGACGTGCAAAAAACAAACGCAAAAGATAAGTCTCTTCTGCGGTTGATGGATTACGTCTCCAATCCGTGCAGTGAAGCTTTGAAAAGCTTGTCGTCTCAATACCGCTCTTCAACCGAACGGTATTCGGTTCGTGATGGACTGCTGTACTCTACAGCTGTCAACGGCGACACGCCTCGTGTCGTCGTTCCGGCTATAATGATTTGCGACTGCGCATCATTTATGAGTGTCACGATGCCCCAACAAGTGGGCATCGCGGTAGAGAAAAGACTTACCTCACGGTGAGTCGTGACTTCTACTGGCCCCGCCAGTATGAGTTTGTGCGCAAATTCATTCGCGCTTGCGAAGTTTGTCAACGGGTGAAGCCTAGTCCTTCATCCCGCGCACCCTTGCAGCCTCGTCCGATTCCGGCAGAGTGTTGGCAGTCCGTATCGATGGACTTCATCTTCGGGTTTCTCAAAAACGTTCACAAGAGTACTGGTATTCTTGTGTTTGTTGATCGGTTCAGCAATATGGTACATCTTGTCGCTGTACCGGAGTCAATCACAGACCAGGGCTGTGCGCGTGTCTTCATCGATGCTATCTTCCGACTTCACGGGTTACCCCGTGAACTTGTGTCTGATAGGGACCCCCACTTTACGGCGGAGTTCTGGCAATCTGCGTTCCTTTCACTTGTAACACGTTTGACGATGTCAACTTCTGACCATCCAGAAACAGATGGTTAGACGGAACGCGTCAATAGCGTCCTCGAAGAGATAATTTGAGGGTATGTCCACTCGTTTACAAGTTGGAGTGAGTTCTTGCCGATGGCGAAATTCGCCATCAACAACTCGGTGCACGCGTCGACAACGCATACATCGTTCTTTGTGAATGGCATATTCCATCCACGTTTAACCGCCTTCTTAGAGTGTGACTCTAGTTTAAGGGGGGTGGACTCGCTCGAACGAAACCCGATCTGTTTCTTGCTCATCACCCGTCGACAATGGTATAGACGTGATGGATGCCGATGTCGATGCGATCGATATCGATGATGATGATGACGACGATGCTGTTATATTCAGTATCGCCAATAAATGCCAAAGTGAGGACGATGACACCCTCACTGGTGAAGACAACATTCTTTCAGCAGTGCACACGAAGCTGTTGACAAGGATGGATCAGCAGGGGGATTTCTGCTGACTCGCGAAGCGGTTGTTCGCTTCTTTCAAGACTCTATTGCAGATGCACTAGACGGACGGAAAAAAAGAAACGCAGACAAACATGGAAGAGCAATTGTTCTTTCATTTGATGAAGGAGACCTATTTTTATTGTCTATAGTAAACCTACCGAAATACGCAGTGAAAAACGTGAGCAGCAGTAAATTACTGCTCAAGTACATCGGTCCATTTCGTGTGTTGCGCCGAATGGGCAACGCATACACGATTGAACTCCCCCGTAAGATGCGTGCGCATCCTACGTTTTACGTTGGTCGTCTCCGCCCGTACTATCAGTACGAGCCCGTTTCGAGATGCGAAGAACACCTCCGCGGTCGGGAGCCGAGGCCACATTCGAGTGGTCCCGTTTCAACGAGCCAGTCTGGTCGACTAGCGAAGCGACCTGTTCACGCAGTTGAGCGATGTCTCGACGAGCTACAGCCAGCTCGTCACGAAGAAAACGAGTCGAAAGTTCGTTCTCAAGTTGTGCGAACGAAAATGCAGCACGATCGTCCGAATGATCGTGCGTTAGGGAATTGTAATTATCCCTTACAAGATCCTCAGGCTCATAACGCCGAGTCCGTTCGTGAGCCAGGTCATCTTGCAACTGTTTCGTTACGGGGTTCAGCTCCTGGAACATCAAGCTGATCCGACCCTTGAGGCTGATCAGGTGTTTCTGCCCCCACCATATCCTTTGGTAGACTCAAGCGGTGATGAACGCTTCCTAGTGAAGCGTATTTTGACCCACCGCGATGTGAATGGCGTCCGGACGAGTTACCTCGTCCGCTGGTGTGCCTACCCACAAGCGTGGGACAGCTGGAAGCCTCGTGCTCAGCTGATAGCTGATGTCCTTGGTCTCGTCGAGAATTATGACGAGACCCACCTGCTGCGTTCGAAGAAAGGCCTTCAGAAAACTCCTCCCCGAACGCGAGTACAGGGATTGCAAGGTGTCAATCCCTTCGGCCATCTCAGCAGAGATGCGATCCTTTCAGTACGGATCATTAGGTAGGGAGGTCTACCTAGGGGCAGGGTTCGAATTGTCTAATCAACTTGGACATGAATCAACCCACGAGATACATGGTAATCGTGCCTCTCTTGACAGTCGGTACAACTTTTATTGCACCCCGACTGGGTTACTCTTCTCAAACCTGATGCGAGCTGCATCACGTTTGGTGAGCCAGGCCCCACGACCAATGCACTCAATGTTGTGGCTGAAGGCATTCCATATCTGCACCAAGGTCTTTCCGTCCCGAATACGGCTGCCATTGTGTCACCGATGTTTGAAAAATGCATCGGTGAAGAACTCTTCCTCAGCACGGATAGTTTCCGTGCTGGAATCAGGTGGGCAAATCTTCCTGCAATCGAACAGCGGAATTCGATCTCAATCGGTAGTCATGCCGGCCAACCGGTCCAACTCTCTGGATGACGGCATCCATGGAGACTCCACTTGAGGAGCGTGCCGCAGGACATTTCGGTACCTGGCCTCTCGATTGGTGCCAGCATGAGCACTGACACCGGTGTTACCCCGATCTGTCGAATTACTTCGCTCTTGGTGATGTATAGGTGCATCACTACCATCCTCACGCGTCATATCGTTGGATGGACTTACGTGAGGCGAGGATTCGTCGGAATAATCACTCGATCCGAAGATCTCGGTCATGATACCGCCACGTTCACCAGAGCCAGTCAACCTGGCTCTTGCAGAGTCCGCCCCGGGTGATCCGGAAGCGTGAGTTGTCGCCTCCGAGTTGGATACATCGTCCGACTCGCCAGAATAGATGAGCTCTATCTCATAATCATCTTGATTACGACTCGTGGTACCTGCTGCAGACGCAACGGATGTACCTGTCGTACGTGTGACTCACCACGTGGAGGATTCAAAACAACTGGCGACGAATCACCTGCTGCTGAGTTGTAAGAGGCACTTTCCGCGGCTGCAGTAGCAGCTCGCGTGGTTTTCGAAACCATGCGTTGGATTGGCAAATGAATAGGATTTGACCAACAACAACAAGTGCTCCCTTTCCCATAGTGATCCAACGGTGGTCACCCTGTCCCAATCAATTCTAATTCAATCAACGGGTGATTTATAATTAAGGGGGAGGTGATGTAACGGGGTAGCCCGTTACATGATATTGAAACCAAACGGTGTCAATAGGAATATTGTCTTGCATGACAGTATTCTACCAATACTATCTGAGATAGATAATATTGAAGGAATATTATCCTCCTTTAACAATATTCATGCGCTGCTCCAAGATTGGTTGGTATAAGACATATCAAGCATAGATTGCCACCAATCGCTGCTAGACGCGCGCAATGAGTGGTGAGCAGGTTGTCGTCATACGACAATGTAGATTATATGGTTAGATATAGACTGAAGTTATATTGATAACTTAACTATATTATATACAGCTCTCTTTTTACCCTTTACTCAAACGATCTGTTTAAAAAAGTTAGCATCCTCTGCACGTACTAGTGTACGTGAAGTTTCGTGGCACCTAGACAAAGGGTGCCCCGTTTCGCCAGCTGTTATTTGTGACTCCCAAATTTCGCCTTCGGCTACTCATGTTTTCTTCTCCTCACTGTCGTTTGGCCTAGCGGCGTATTCTAAAGGTGGGAATGCTTTTATTTTAATAATTGAGATTTCCGACTGGCCTCGGTCGACCGCGTTTCGAAGCCACGCAGCCAGGTCTGGAGGCCTGGTCACAATAGACTTTCATGAGAGTGGTAACGATTGCTGCATGAGCGTTCTCCAAACATCTTCATAGGCCGCCGTCTACGACATGCACCGTGAAAATCCTCGAGTCGTCGGGTGGACAAGAAACACTGAAGTACGATGATGACTGTGACGCCAGTATTAAGACCTTGCTCGGGCGAGCTACGCTACTTGGATCGTATAACTAATAAATGTCAGCGGCACCTCAGCGGAGGTGAATAGAAGACGTCCCGGACGCACGGAAAACCGGCGAGACCCGACAATAAATGTAGCCTGTATCCGAGTCCACTGGAGTACTTACGGAAATAGGTTATGAATCCCAAACGATAAGATTCCACATTTGTCAATGAGGAGGGTGGAGGGTGACTCAATCTGTTCGTAATCATTTTAGAGCATGCTAATCATTTGAATAGCTCGCATGGTGCGACGTCGTTTACCGCTGTCGATTTGCCATTTGCCAAATGGACAGCAAATCACGACTTAAAGATTAACTGTTGTGTGCATTCGTGAAGTTGGAGATAGAGCTAGACACAGGTACCGGGATGAGATTGTAGTGTTTTGGCCTACCCCTTTTTCTCATTCTCGAAGTATCAAGCTCAAGAAAGCAGGTATCCTAATTGTACAATTGTGTTCGTTCCCTTCAATAGCACGATACGATCGATGCCTTGTGCTTAAAGAGACATCGGCGTAAAACAGGGAAGTTTATCATTGGTTTTTCTAACGTCAATGTAAAGAGGTGCCTCTATTACATGATAGTTTAGGTAAAGTAAATATCAAGCACTATATTTCTGTTAGGAAAACAGGACATTCTCACTGTATTGGCTAGAATAAGTAGTTTTGTGTTGCAGAAGTAATACACTGCTCATTGGTTGACATGGACCAACGATATTAACCCATAACGTCGAGCCGCGACCGAAGAACGCAATGAGTGGTGAGCAGACGGTTACAATACATTTTTGTATTAAAATACAGTTAAATGAAGGCATATAGTATATGGACAGGAGATTGATAATGGTACATCAAAAAATACTTTACCCTTCTCTCGTGTTGTTCCCTTACTCTGCACGACGCGTGTACGTAAACTTTTGAACCACCACCTTAATCTGTGTTCAATGTAAGCAGCTTGTATTGTGACAGTACAAGCGACCGGTGACCTGTTACACCTGACCACACTTTGTAGTCATCCAACACATACGAAAATGTTGGTTTGTGAAGGGGGCGATTTCCATAACACGCATTAATAGCTACTCCGATTTTGTCATATCGAATATGAATCCATCGTACGATTGAGGTTGACCATAGTGCAAGAAGCCGTCGTCCAGTGTTGTCCGCTCTAAATCCGACGGACAACACGCCACCATTGCCAACTTTGTCTAAAACGAACTTGACCTTGAAAGGGAAAAGTTGGCCTTGCTTCACCAACAAATTTTACACCAGACAGAGCTGATCCGAGAACAGGGAAATCAACGGTTGTAACTGTTGTAACAACAGCAGGCAAAGACTGCTGTTCCCGGGCGACACACAAAAATCGACCCGATTAACTGAAAAATGTCTTCTACAAAAACGAAGCAGGTAAAGCAAACTCTCTGCTGAGATAGTTTTTTTGTGAAGCTAGGTGATGCCATAAGGGCTTGTCACATAGTCTAGGAGCTACCGCAGGTCGCATTAGCTCACTTGGCAGGACGTGTGAAGACTTGCCATTGAGCCTCGATCTACACGATACATATATTGTTAATTGTTTGAAGTCTTCAAGTCCCGGCCTCGACAAACATTCGAACAGCCGAGAGCTGATCTTACGGCTTTCTACAAACTCCGGAAACTTAAATAAGACGAACGTGATGTACGCCCATGCATGCAGTACATACGTCACCTTAAAAGTTAAATTACAGCAAATACGACATGTAATTAGACGTTAATGAAGTTTTTCATGCAAGGTAACACAGACGGTCCAGTCCAGACCAATTTTTCGACTAGAATTCGATACCTTGAAGAGGCAATTCGTGTTGCGAAATAGGAAGATTTTAGCGTGGTACAACTCGTCGTGAGTTCGAATTTCTATTGCCCTCCGAGATGACAGGAAAACGGAGGCCCAGAAACGACGGAACTCAATTACCTAAAAATGATAGATTTTGCGTCCTATTTGTAAAAATGGCAGACCTACAGTAGGTATCAAAATGTCAGGGCATTATGCATACGAATGCATTACCCTGACCGCGGCACCACGTACCGCAGGAAACAGTAACTGTAACAGGGCACCCTTTGTCTAGGTGCCACGAAACTTCACGTACACTAGTACGTGCAGAGGATGCTAACTTTTTCAAACAGATCGTTTGAGTAAAGGGTAAAAAGAGAGCTGTATATAATATAGTTAAGCTATCAATATAACTTCAGTCTATATCTAACCATATTAATCTACATTGTCGTATGACGACAACCTGCTCACCACTCATTGCGCGCGTCTAGCAGCGATTGGTGGCAATCTATGCTTGATATGTCTTATACCAACCAATCTTGGAGCAGCGCATGAATATTATTAAAGGAGGATAATATTCCTTCAATATTATCTATCTCAGATAGTATTGGTAGAATACTGTCATGCAAGACAATATTCCTATTGACACCGTTTGGTTTCAATATCATGTAACGGGCTACCCCGTTACATCACCTCCCCTTAATTATAAATCACCCGTTGATTGAATTAGAATTGATTGGGACAGGGTGACCACCGTTGGATCACTATGGGAAAGGGAGCACTTGTTGTTGTTGGTCAAATCCTATTCATTTGCCAATCCAACGCATGGTTTCGAAAACCACGCGAGCTGCTACTGCAGCCGCGGAAAGTGCCTCTTACAACTCAGCAGCAGGTGATTCGTCGCCAGTTGTTTTGAATCCTCCACTTGGTGAGTCACACGTACGACAGGTACATCCGTTGCGTCTGCAGCAGGTACCACGAGTCGTAATCAAGATGATTATGAGATAGAGCTCATCTATTCTGGCGAGTCGGACGATGTATCCAACTCGGAGGCGACAACTCACGCTTCCGGATCACCCGGGGCGGACTCTGCAAGAGCCAGGTTGACTGGCTCTGGTGAACGTGGCGGTATCATGACCGAGATCTTCGGATCGAGTGATTATTCCGACGAATCCTCGCCTCACGTAAGTCCATCCAACGATATGACGCGTGGGGATGGTAGTGATGCACCTATACATCACCAAGAGCGAAGTAATTCGACAGATCGGGGTAACACCGGTGTCAGTGCTCATGCTGGCACCAATCGAGAGGCCAGGTACCGAAATGTCCTGCGGCACGCTCCTCAAGTGGAGTCTCCATGGATGCCGTCATCCAGAGAGTTGGACCGGTTGGCCGGCATGACTACCGATTGAGATCGAATTCCGCTGTTCGATTGCAGGAAGATTTGCCCACCTGATTCCAGCACGGAAACTATCCGTGCTGAGGAAGAGTTCTTCACCGATGCATTTTTCAAACATCGGTGACACAATGGCAGCCGTATTCGGGACGGAAAGACCTTGGTGCAGATATGGAATGCCTTCAGCCACAACATTGAGTGCATTGGTCGTGGGGCCTGGCTCACCAAACGTGATGCAGCTCGCATCAGGTTTGAGAAGAGTAACCCAGTCGGGGTGCAATAAAAGTTGTACCGACTGTCAAGAGAGGCACGATTACCATGTATCTCGTGGGTTGATTCATGTCCAAGTTGATTAGACAATTCGAACCCTGCCCCTAGGTAGACCTCCCTACCTAATGATCCGTACTGAAAGGATCGCATCTCTGCTGAGATGGCCGAAGGGATTGACACCTTGCAATCCCTGTACTCGCGTTCGGGGAGGAGTTTTCTGAAGGCCTTTCTTCGAACGCAGCAGGTGGGTCTCGTCATAATTCTCGACGAGACCAAGGACATCAGCTATCAGCTGGGCACGAGGCTTCCAGCTGTCCCACGCTTGTGGGTAGGCACACCAGCGGACGAGGTAACTCGTCCGGACGCCATTCACATCGCGGTGGGTCAAAATACGCTTCACTAGGAAGCGTTGACCACCGCCAGAATCCACCAGAGGATGTGGTGGTGGCGGGAACACCTGGATCGTCTCGAGGTCGGACAGCTTGATGTTCAGGAGCTGAACCGTGTAACGGATTAGTATCACGATGACCTGGCTCATGAACGGACTTGGCACACGAGCTCCATGATCTCGTAAAAGATGATAATAATTCCCAAACGCACGATCGCTCGGACGATCGTGCCGCGTTTGCATTCGCACAACTTGAGAACGAATGTTCGACTCGTTTTCTTCGTGACGAGCTGGCTGTAGCTCGTCGAGACATCGCTCAACTGCATGAACAGGTCGCTTCGCTAGTCGACCAGACTGGCTCGTTGAAACGGGACCACTCGAATGTGGCCTCGGATCTCGACCGCAGAGGTGTTCTTCGCATCTCGAAACGGGCTCGTACTGATAGTACGGGCGGAGACGACCAACGTAAAACGTAGGATGCGCACGCATCTTACGGGGCAGTTCAATCGTGTATGCGTTGCCCATTCGGCGCAACACACGAAATGGACCGATGTACTTGAGCAGTAATTTACTGCTGCTCACGTTTTTCACTGCGTATTTCGGTAGGTTTACTATAGACAATAAAAATAGGTCTCCTTCATCAAATGAAAGAACAATTGCTCTTCCATGTTTGTCTGCGTTTCTTTTTTTCCGTCCGTCTAGTGCATCTGCAATAGAGTCTTGAAAGAAGCGAACAACCGCTTCGCGAGTCAGCAGAAATCCCCCTGCTGATCCATCCTTGTCAACAGCTTCGTGTGCACTGCTGAAAGAATGTTGTCTTCACCAGTGAGGGTGTCATCGTCCTCACTTTGGCATTTATTGGCGATACTGAATATAACAGCATCGTCGTCATCATCATCATCGATATCGATCGCATCGACATCGGCATCCATCACGTCTATACCATTGTCGACGGGTGATGAGCAAGAAACAGATCGGGTTTCGTTCGAGCGAGTCCACCCCCCTTAAACTAGAGTCACACTCTAAGAAGGCGGGTAAACGTGGATGGAGTAGGCCATTCACAAAGAACGATGTATGCGTTGTCGACGCGTGCACCGAGTTGTTGATGGCGAATTTCGCCATCGGCAAGAACTCACTCCAACTCGTAAACGAGTGGACATACCCTCAAATTATCTCTTCGAGGACGCTATTGACGCGTTCCGTCTAACCATCTGTTTCTGGATGGTCAGAAGTTGACATCGTCAAACGTGTTACAAGTGAAAGGAACACAGATTGCCAGAACTCCGCCGTAAAGTGGGGGTCCCTATCAGACACGAGATCACGGGGTAACCCGTGAAGTCGGAAGATAGCATCGATGAAGACAAGAGCACAGCCCTAGGCTGTTATTGACTCCGGTACAGCGACAAGATGTACCATATTGCTGAACCGATCAACAAACACAAGAATACCAGTACTCTTGTGAACGTTTTTGAGAAACCCGAAGATGAAGTCCATCGATACGGACTGCCAACACTCTGCCGGAATCGGACGAGGCTGCAAGGGTGCGCGGGATGAAGGACTAGGCTTCACCCGTTGACAAACTTCGCAAGCGCGAATGAATTTGCGCACAAACTCATACTGGCGGGGCCAGTAGAAGTCACGACTCACCGTGAGGTAAGTCTTTTCTCTACCGCGATGCCCACTTGTTGGGGCATCGTGACACTCATAAATGATGCGCAGTCGCAAATCATTATAGCCGGAACGACGACACGAGGCGTGTCGCCGTTGACAGCTGTAGAGTACAGCAGTCCATCACGAACCGAATACCGTTCGGTTGAAGAGCGGTATTGAGACGACAAGCTTTTCAAAGCTTCACTGCACGGATTGGAGACGTAATCCATCAACCGCAGAAGAGACTTATCTTTTGCGTTTGTTTTTTGCACGTCATCGAGCAGATTCGACGACGGAACACTCACTGTTAGTGTCGCGACAGTGTGATCACCCCTACTGTTGGGTTGAGCAGTAGGCTCAAAATCGGGCCGACTCAAAAGAGCGTCAGCGACGACATTAAGTCGTCCTGATTCATATTCGACGGAGAAGTTGTCATCCGCGAAGAAAGACAGCCACCTCGTCATTCGTTGCGAGAGGTATAGACTGTTAACGGCCGTGCGTAACGACGCATGGTCTGGGTAAACAATGAAGGGTCTATTTCCTAATAGATAGACTCTATACTTCGAGATTGCCTATTTCATGGTAAGGAGTTCCTTGTCATGAACCGAATAATTTCGCTCAGCTGCTTGCAGCTGACGCGATTGATAACAGACGATGCGCTCAACGCCGTCTGAGTCGTACTGCATTAGCGCGCAGCCGATTGCAGCATCGCTGGCGTCACAGACCGCATGAAATGGTCTATCCTGGTCTGCAATCGTCAACACAGGCGATTATATCAATCTTTTCTTGATAACTTTAAAGGAGTGCTGACACTCAGCACTCCATGACCACCTCTCGTTCTTCATTAACGGACGAGATAGATGTACGGTCATCTCGGTGTAGTGCGCGAGTACTTGTGCAAGTACGCCGCCAAGCCAAGGAGCTTTCAAAGTCCCTTGACGTAGACTGGCACAGGCCAGTCGCTAATCGCCTTGATCTTTTCCGGATCAGGGCGTACGCCGTGTTTTACCCACGATGCAGCCAAGAAGTGGAATTTCGTTCGCTGCGAATATACACTTCTTGAGGTTCGCGAACAACTTATGCTCTCGCATTAGAGTAAGAACTTTCCGGACGTGTATTTTATGAACCTCCACGTCCGTCTTTCCATCTATAACCCGGCTATGGACAAAGCCATCGTCGAAGTAACTCGGTGCGAAATCGAGCACTGATCGCAACAGATTTGTAATACATCTGTTAAACGTTGCAGGGGCGTTACTTGGCCCCTGTGGCATCACTAGCCACTCCCAGAGCATACCACTCGTAGTGCTCACTGCTGTGTAAGGGATATCCCGCTCACGCATGAGGATCTGATAGAATCCATCCATCAGATCCACGGACGAAAAGATGGTACTTTTTCTATACCATCTATGATGACGTCCTTCCTTGGTATCGGCGTTTGAGCCGGTGCCGTTGCAGAGTTCAGTTTGTTGAACGCGTGCACTATCCGCCACCCTCCTGTGGCCTTTCGAACACAAAAGGTCGGAGAGCTGTGTGGGGATTTTGATTCCCTCACATGATCAGCGGCTAAACGATCGGCAAAGAATTTGTCGATCATTGTGACCTGTTTACGAGGCAGTGTCCACTGCTTCATGACACAGTACTAAGAACCAGGTTTCAGTTCAATCTCATGCCGAGTGCCTTTGTCCTTGGGCAGCTCGCATGGCACGGATTCAGGGGAAACAATCCTTAATTCAACCAAATCATTATACAAAGAATTTGCCTTTAAAGACTCCCAAGATTGAGACGTGCATCGCTCAATCCAAGTCTTCTCATCGAGGACACTCTTGTCCGTCGATGAGCTACTGAGAACTCGTTCGTTCTCAGTAAACACTTGTTCCGACCGAATATCGGCGACGTACTCGTTCTCTGTGACGGGTACGCAGATCTGCTTGATCTTGTCACTACGCAGATCTCGCAAGAATCTTTTAGATTCTAGCGTTGGCAACTTGAATACCTCCTAAGCTGACTTCGGAGGCGTAACCATATAAAGCGTGTAAATACCTACACTTGATCCGTCAATCACCAAGACATTCACTGTCTCGGTGATTTCCTGGAAAACACATCCGTAGGTGGTCGGGGATCCACACCCTCAACATAACTCTCTCGGGAGTTATCACTCTCAGGAGCGCTGGAACTTTCTTCCAATACATGTTGTGACTGTGGGTGTACTACCACAGTCACATCCTTTTCGATAGACTCTCTTTCAGTCAATCGGGCTTGCTCTACGATCGACTTTCTGATAGTCTATCTCGCTTCAACGTGTTGTTCATCCTGAACAACACTAATCTCTCTTCTTGGATGCACCCTTCTTGGTGTGCATCCGTGTTCCAGTACACTAGATCTTTTTCGAGTGGTGAGCCTTCGGCGCAGCCTGTGTCTCTACACAGGTGCCGGAAGCTGGTTTCATATTGTAGTGGCCTTCTATACTGTGATCTTGTGCAATCGTACTAACGACCGTACCACAAGTGAGGCCATCTCACTCACTCGTAGTACATCCACACGCTTGTGGACGCTCCAAGACGTTCTTCAGATGGCCATCTGATGAACAAACGGCATGCATCTTCAAGGATCGATGCTGTCAGCTAATCCATGGCTGGTACTTTTTAAGCCATGGCAGACCGAGGATGACATCGAATTTGTCATCCAAATTAAGTACGATGAAGGTATCATCGTACTGCTTTCTTCTAGCGTGTAGTAGATTCCCACTACACGTTTGTTAACTGTTACGGATGCGCCTGTAGCAAGGCACATCGTCATCCTCGTTGGAGGGATCTCTCGCTCAACATAGTTGAGTCTAGTATCCTCTAGCGACTGGCGTCGAAAATAACTGTTCGACGATCCACAGTCAACTAGGGCTCGAAGTGACATTCCACTTGTTGCTTCGATTTTCAAAGTGATGAGGGACGCCTCATCACTAGGGGGCAGTGCCACACAGCGACTGTGTGTTGGGAGAAACCTTCGTCAATAGTCCTGCAAATTTTCTTGACGTTGCTGGATCAGCAGGGTGCTCCGCCCCTACTGACCCTGACCGTTTTTTGACAGTCCGACTTGCTGTCGCGGCTTAGCGACACGGCCGAACCCACGCCTTGGACCTTTCCTTGTCCAACGGCGGTCATCACGTCTTGTCTTTGGACGTGATGCGGTGCTCGAAACACTACACTCATGAGCGTAGTGTCCAACCTTCTGACAGCGATGGCATCTTGCCGTTCAATTGTGACTCAGAGAGCGAGAGTTCTCGCTCTCGGTGTAACAGAGGTCTATTGGTTCGGTACCTCCTGTTTGCTGTCGTCTCGTCGGACGATAGTTTGACGAGTTATCCTGAGACTGTATCAGGCTGAAGTCTTCTTGTTCTGCACACGCTATCGTCTTTTTCAGCGTATGGAATTCCTCTCGGAACGTGTAGATCTTCACCGGCCCATCCACAAGACCGTAGATGAACACGTTGATGAGCGTGTGCTCATCAACAGGGTTTTCTGTGACGCTACTCGCAAGGTAGCGTAGGTGTTGTGCGTAAGCTGGCAAATCGCGCTTACTTGCTTTAGCCTCGAGAGTGCAGAGCGTGCTCTGGACTCGGCTCTCGGCGGCTCAAACGTCTCTTTTAGCCGAGACTTCAAGATCTCCAACGACTCAAACACGCCTGGCTCGTGAAGCTTGAGCCCTAAGGCCCTAGTCTTTGCTCGCCCCGTCAAATTTGACAGGGGGAAGGTGACTTGCATCTCGTCACCCTCAATGCGACGGGCCTTAATGGAGTCGTCTAACTCAACGAACCATCTCAGAAGGGAATCTTCATCGGTTTCCTTGTACCTTCAGATATCCATCTCTAAGGTTTCGGGTCG